GGACCACCACCCTCCAGACCACAACCATCAAACCACCACCAATGGACCACCAACCTCCAGACCACCAATATCGGACCACCACCCTCTGGATCACCACCACCATCGGACCACCACTCTCCAGACCACAACCATCGGGTCACCACCATTGGACCACCACCCTCCAGACCAAAACCATCAGACCAACAAAATTTGAACACCATCATTGGATCACCACCCTCCGAACCACCACCATCGGACCACCACCCTCCAGACCACCATTGTCAGACCACCAACATCCAGACCACCACCATCAGACCACCACAATTGGACCACCACTATTGGACCATCACCCTACAAATTAGGGTTGGGCATTGTTTGAATGTGAACAATTCCAGCTCCAATTTCAATTCCTCGTTTTGATTCCGGTTCTTTTTAGAGGAGGGGTTTAAAAAAACGTCACGTTATAAATGAGCTACGGTAGTTAGCTAGATTTCTATCTGGACAAAATAATTTGAACTTCTATTTGAATTTTAATTCTATGAACTTTTTACCTTTTATTAACTTTACTATGAATTTCTCACAGAGCTATTTTCAACCAGTATATAAATATCAAACTTTAATATAAATGTTATGAATTTTCTTTTCACAGGGATAAACTTTCACAAGAATTTTATGTTTGAAAACCTCATGGAAACACATTTCCACATGTCCAGTGTTTGATGCTGCAGCCATGTTACTGAGCTCCCACTGATGGACTAACCTGCTGCAGAATATCAAACTAAATTATTATTATAAAAAAGAACAACTTGTAAAATCCAGTCCAGATTAGCAGCAGGTCCAGTATAAAATCAGAAGCTGTTCTTGTTGAGGAAAATGATCATATCTGCTTCTCAGGCAGAATGTGTGAGTGTTCTGGACAGACAGTGTCTCCTGCAGTGGAGAACATGTCTGAAGGTGCAGAAGAAGCTTGAACACATAAATATGAGAAATCAATCTCTGACAGCAAAGGATAAGTCTTGTGTTGGTTCCACCACCGGCAGCAGGTCCTCAGACAGAACGTCTGGTGGAATGTCCTGGTCCATCTGCAGCTCTCTCCACTTGTTTCTTGATCAGAGTCAGAGTTTCTTTATTGTCATTTGCACGAACGAGATTATGTACTCAGGATCCCAGTAGCCATGTTTACAAGCACAA